AATCTAATCTTTTTAATTTAAATTTAGGGGAAAAGATATAAATATTGTAAATATTGGTATATTTGCAGATGCATTTGCAAAAGGAAAAGCAGTTTCAAACATGATTCTAAATTTTTCATTGGAGGATTACAAAAATATAAAATTAAAACGATTCTTTATATTTCTTTTATCGTCATTAAAAAACCAAGGTGGGCTTAAAGTAACCGATCAAAAAAATTTTCAATTGATATTAAATGAAATATTAAAATATTTAGAAAACCATGTTAATAAAAATGAAATACTGTGTGTAAATAATGAATATTATTTTATTAAACTCTCAAAGTTGTATGGTGAAGCAAAAAATAATGAAATGAATTATTTTGAAGGAAAAACGTTTTTGAATTAAAATCTACAACTGTTGCAAATAACAAATATAAATTGTACGAAGAAAATAAAGATTTGGATGGTCTTCATTATATGTTTTAAAGGAACCAAAAAATAATTATATTGATTAATTATATTATTTAAATAATAGTTATTTATTTTATAAAAATTTTTAAATAGGTATATTTTTTAGATTAAAAGGTGTCGATGTATATGGTCTTATTCAAAAATGTTTTTTGCATAATGAAATTTTGGGTATGGTTAAAAGAGAAATAATGGAAACAATTAAACTTTTAGGCGAAAAGGGTCAGAAAGTTGCAAGAAAATTATTTTCAAACCTACCAACAATAAATGGTGTAAATTTAAAAAATTTTAAATATAAATATTTTGTTGGAAAAGATTTTAGAGCATTATTAGAAGTTTTTTCAATTATTCTTTCAGAAATAATTAATGAGCATTCAATTAAATCAAAGATTTTAAATGTAAGTAAACCATTTTAATATTTTTTTTTTAGTACAAAATTAAAACAATTTGGATTAATTAGTTGTAAATTTATTTAGAAATATTTAAGAGTCTTATACCTTCATGAACAATATTTAAAGTTATTATTAAGTAGTGGAGAGAAATTTGAAAGTGTCCAAAACCAAAATAAAGCCAAATTTATTATTTCAATTATTGAACAACATAGAAAAGAATACTTGGATATTAGAGAATCAAATATTGAAAAAGCTGCAAAAAAATTTCATTTGATAAATTAGAAAAACTAAAAACTAAAGTAGGTATTATAATAATGATTATTTTATTAAACTAAAAACATATTTTAAATATTTTTATAAATTATTAGGGTTTAATGGTATTCCATATTGGGTATCATTATATCAAAGATTTAGAAAGAAACATTAATCCAATTGGTAATACTGGTCAATATATGGAAGCATTAAGATTTCATAAACGTGTGGAAACAGTAATAAAAAATATATTTTAATATTTTAATATTTTAAATTTATAACATTTATTAATTTTTTTGATTTAGATGAAAAGCAATAATCATTTAGGTCAATCAATAATTAATAATGCAAACCTGGAAATTTTATTATGACTTAATACTGATATTATGGAAATTAAAAATGTATGTTTAATTATAATTATTTATGTTATTAAAAATTTATATACTAAATAGTTTTTTAAAAGTATCAAAATAAATGTTTTTATATTAAGAAAAAGAAATCGGAACCTGAAGATAAATTAATCTTGGAGCAGGCTGAAAAATTGTTTGAAAAATATATTGATTTAAAATATGATAATATTTCAATTGTTAAAGAAGTTTTTTTTAATGACCAATTTTATAAAGAAGAGAGTTTTATTTCAGTTCAACTTGAATCATCTCGAAATGTAATATCAGAAAAAGAAAGCACAATCAAATATTCCTCTATAGTTCCATTGAGTGCTTTAAATAACTTGGTATATGAATGGAAAATTAATCCAGAAGTTTACAATAAAGCTTTCACGAGTAAGTGCTAATTTTATTTATAAAAAATATTTAACTTTATAAAATATTAATTTTTTATAAAGTTATAGATTATTTTGGTGAAAAAAAATTTTATTTACCGGCTCAAGATCCAAGTGAAACAATTTCCTCTGCAACTCAGAAAAAAATTAAAAATTTTAAATCATCAAATAATTCTTCAATTTCAAAAACCAACCTTTCAATCAATCAATCTTCCATAATCAATAATAGTTTTAATTTAGCATTTTATAAACTCAGTATAAATAATTTTTCATATCAAACATATATTTATATTGATAAAATAAAAAAAGAAAACAAAATTCAATTTCATTGTAATGAAAATAAAATTGAATCATTCCATATTGGTTTAAAATCATTGTATCAATCATCAGATGAAAAAACCAAAACCTCATTAAATAATATTGAAACCGATGACACACAAAATGAAACCATTAGTGACTATTCATATAGTGAAGAATCTTCAAATAGTGAAGACAGTGTTTAATAAAAATATATATATTTTAATTATAATTTGTACAAAAATAAAATAATGTAATAAAAATAAAAATTTATATGAAAAATATAAATAAAAAACATTTAGTTTTTTAAATATTTTTTTAATTAATTTAAAATTTTTATGCAAAAAAAATGTAAAAATAATTATAATGACCCTTTAATTTTCATATTTTATAAAAATTTGACATTTTAATGAAAAAAAAAATGTAAAATAATTTAGGGATTCTAAAATAGTTCATCTTTTGAAAAAAGGGGTTTTTATAGTTTCGGGTGTTATAGGTGATTTTTTATAGGCAATCCATAGTCATAGTCATTTTTTTTTTTTTTTGTAGTTCTTTTTTGTTCTAAAAAAAAAAAAAATAGTCAACAATGTATAAAAGTGTGAAAACACAATTAAACAACAGTTAAATTACATTTATTTTGAATATTACATAATTTTCGGTTTTTTTTTTTTTTTTTCAAATTTTTTTTATTTTTTATTTATAAAATTTTTTTTTTTTTTTTTTTTTGAAGATTATCAATAAACGAATTTTATAAAATATAATATTTTATAAAAGAATTTTATAAAATATAATATTTAAATTCAAAAAAAATAATGATTAAATTTAAAAAAAATTTTTTTTTTTTTTTTTTTTATATAAAAATTTTTTCGATTTTTAAATTTTTTTTTTAAAAATTTTTTCAATTTTTACGATTTTTTCTCTATTTTTAGTTTTTTTTTTGATTTTCTATAGCCTCCGTAGTTTTAAAAAAAGTCAAAATAGGCGCGCTGTGGGGGGGGCGGTTGGGCCGGACTATTTTTTTTTTTTTTTATAGCCGGACTATGACTATGTAGAAACCCTAAAATAATTATAATGACCCTTTAATTTTCATATTTTATAATTTGACATTTTAATGCAAAAAAAATGTAAAATAATGATAGTTGTCTTTTTTTTGTCCCCCCCTGTCATATTTTAACATTTTTTATCATATTTTATCATTTTTTTACATAAAATTGTATAAATATGTAAAATCATATTTTAGCATATAAATGAAAAATATTTTGGTTCGAGGTGGTATCCCAAAAAATACAATGAGTAAATATTATTTAATGCGGTCGCAGGTGTAATAAATTGGAAATTATAACTGTTTTTTTTTTTTTATTTTTTTTTTTTTATTTATTTGTTTTTTTTATTTATTTGTTTTTTTTTATTTATTCATTGAGTTATTCGAATGAATCGCGGGTCGGTTTCATAATTTTTCGACTCAACCGCGGTGGGTCGGAGCCTTAATCATTACTAACTAAGGAATATGTAGATTTGGATCCAAGATGTCGTGATTTAATATTATTAGTTAAGCATTGAGGCACACAAAAAAATTTCAAAGATGCCTCTCGGGGTACCTTCTCTTCATTCTGTTTAGTTTTAATGGTCATTAATTTCTTACAAAATGGTGTATCTCCTCCAATCTTACCAAATCTTGAATCCCCAAATAAATCAATTCTCGAACATACCTCAAAACTCAAAACAAATTTTATTATTGAAGATTATCTTGTTCATTATTATGATCATACAACTCTCAAATTTAAATCATCAGATTTTAAAATATCAATAGATCAATTGTTTTATAAATTCTTTGAATATTATTTAGGATTTGATTTCAAAAATTTATCTATCAACATTTCTAAAGGTATTAAACAAAGAGTCGAAAAAAAGAAATTATCGAAGTTCAAGATTTATTTGAACCCAAATTCTTATCTCTTGGTATTAAATTTAAAAAATTCAAAAAGGTTTTATTTGAATTTGCTTTAAAAGAATTCAATTTAAGAGTTGGTTTAAAAAAACCCATTTTTAATTTATTTTAAAAGTTTGTGTAATTTTGGAATAAAAAAAAAAAACCACCAAATGTGTGGGAAAATTTTAACTTTTTTAAAAATACTTAAAAAAATAAAACAAAATAAAAAAAGGGAAAAAAGGAGGAAAATAAAAAAAAAAAAAATTGAAATATAAAAAATTTTAAATCAAAAATTTTTTTTTTTTATTAAATTTAATTTTTACAAATTAAAAAAAACCAATTGTTATAATTTATATATTATTTTTTAATTTTATTTTCATTTTCAAACTTTAATATTAGAATCAAAAGATGTACTACTTCTTTCAACAACCAAGTGTTCATTTTACTATTGAATTTGCACCACCACAGAGATACAATAACTTTTGGTACAACGGTTTAGGTTCCCAAATCCAACAAAATCAATTTTATCAAATGCCACATCACTTTAATTCTTTTAATTCATATAGGTATTATTCTATTTTTTTTTTCTCTTTTATTTTTTTTCTTTTTGAAATAGTCTAATCTCAGCTTAAAAGTAAATTTAGATAAAATATTATTTAATTTATTTATTTATTATTCTATATAGGGCACAAATTGGTTTAGGAAACCAAAGGGACGATGAGATAAAACACAAACATCATATTTTCCCTCGACAATTCAAAGAATGGTTTTCTCAAAAAGGTATAAATATAGACGATCACTGTATTTTAGTAACTAGATACGATCATTTTAATCTTATACATGGAAGAGGTGGATGGAATTTAAAATGGGGGATATTTATAAGTAATAACCCAAATGCCACTTATAATCAAATATTTCTTTTTGGCAAACAACTGTTGAAGGAATATGGATTAGAAAACATTCTAATTACAGAATATAAAAAAAAAAAATAATAAATATAAATAATTCTAATAATCAAATAAATATACAACTATTTGTTTGTGAAAACTAAAACTTAAAACTGAAAACTAAAAAATAAAATTTTATTTTTTTATTTTATACCCAACCCCCAATTTTAAAAAATAAATTATTTTTTTTTTTTTTTTAAAAGTGAAGATGATTCTTAATGATATTAAGTCATCAGTTTATTGTGTTTGGTATGTGTTTAATGCTTATATGAGTTTTACCACACAGCATACAAGTTGGGCACGGTAACGTCAATTCGTGTGTGATTCTTTTTTTTTTTTTTTTTTTTTTTTTTTTTTTAAAAGTGAAGATAATTAAAAGCAAATGCTTTAAATTAATCAGTAAAATTTTATTTAATGTTTTTTATAAACTTTTTAAAGGAAATATTCTAAACTGTTGATATTTGGTAATGATTTGATGCTGATGAAATATGCTCTTGCTATTCTTCTTTTAAATTTTCTATATTCTTCATTGATGTTGCTAATTGTTTGTGGTTGTTTAGGGTGTCTATCATTGATGTTTTTTAAACCTTTTAAGTATTCTAAAGTAGCTAGCTTAGTCCATTTTGAGGTTAGAATCTTATAATCGAGTTCTTTTATTGTATTTTCTTGATCGTCATATAATTCTTTACATAACCAAATCCAAAATTGATGAAATACCAGGGCTATGGCATTTCTATAAGCGAAGCATCTAGTTAAGTCGAAATCTATTGCTTTATAGTTCCATTGGAAGTGTGATTTGTGAAATCTGGTGTTTTTGTAATCCATATTTATTTCTCCATCGGATTGGCGAACTTCTGGGATTTTGTATGTAATATTTTATATTGATATATTCCATCTTGATCTTGTTATTTCCAGTGACCAATTGAGGCCCCTTCCCGAAATAATGAATATAAATGATTTTAGTTTATTGAAGTTGATGAATTTAAGAGTTTTTTTACATTTGAAAAATAGATGACCATATGGATCATTATTAAGATTTTCATTACATAGTCCACATGGTTTGTTGTGAATGAAGTTGGTAAGCATCTTGCTTGGAATTTGAATAGGGTGTTTCTTGATTTTGGATCTTTAATATTAAGTATATTATTGAATAGGTTGATATAGCTATAACCTGTAAGTTGAAGACATTGTTAGAATTCTGTTTTGGGTGTAAAGCTGTTGAGATTGTTTATTTCCGAATACCATTCAGCTAAAGAAAGAGGTTTGCCGTCCTTATTTTTAATGGATTTCAACCCGTCTAGTAGTCCTTTTTTAATTTTTATTTGTATCCAATCATTGTAGTTTTTAAGTAGGTAATCTGAAGTTATTGTTTTGGTTGATATTTGATGTTTCCAGCTGTGTTGATATTCTGATTCTATTTTATGAGTTTCAATTTTATTTATTATTTGATTTATCATCCATAGTCTTTGTGCTTTTTGTCTGTTTTTGATATTCCAAAGATTCCAACCTCCTTGATCCATAGTTAGGGTATACATTTTAGTTTTTTTTTTGAAAAAAAGGGGTTTCTAAGTTCGGGGTCGATTAGTTCCATTTTTAAAGTCAATTTCTAAGTTTTAGTTTTTTTTTTATTTTTCTAAGTTTTAAAAACAAAAAAAAAAGTTTTTAATTTAATCCAGCAAAATACTCAATTCAGCATAGCAGTGGCGGTTCCTCAATGAACGAAAAGCAACAAAGAGTATGGTTAACCTTATCATGGTCCCCTGCCTCACCTCAATATTTAATATCAAATTCATTAACTGCTGATATCTTAATCTGGGTATAGTATAGGATCAAATCCAAAAACATTCTTCCTGGGAATTTTTTGGATTTTTTTTGGATCAAAAAATGAAAAAAAGGATTCAAAAAAATCCTAAATTTTATCGATTTTGGATCAAAAAATTAAAAAAAAAGGATCAATTTTGGAATTTAAATATACAAAATAAAAAAATAAAAAAAAAAAAATTTATTAAAACAATAAATATATATATATTTATATTTTTATTTCCATTTGATTATTTTGTTGTTTTTTTTACAACTTTTCTTGTTGTTGTAATACCCGGAATTCTTTTGCCATTAAATGAACGTATTCAGTCATTTGCTCTGGTTTGTATTGTCGATAATTCCCATCAGTAGCAATTTCCATTAATTCAATAAAATGTGAATTATTTAATAAAAATTTTCTGCTCTGTTCAGCAAAATAAAATTAGACGTTTTTTTTAGAAAATTTTATTTGAGAAAAACGACACTCCACACAAAATTTATTTTTTTTTTTAATTTTTTTTTTTAAAAAATCACAAATTATTTTGAAAAAGATGTTTTATTTGAAAAAAAAATTTAAAAAATTTAAAAATTTGTTGTTTTTGATCATTTTCAAACAAAACCAAAATAATTTTATTTTTTTTTATTTTTTATTTTTTTTTAAAATAATAAGAGGTGGAAATGATTTTTAAAAATTTTATTTTTATTAAAAATATTAAAAAAAAATGATTTTTTTATTATCAAAATATTTTTTTTTTTCAAAAAATGATAATTTTTTGGCTATTAACATCATTTTTATAAAAAAAAAAAAAAAAAAAAAAAAAAAATTAATTTAAATAAAAAATTTTTAAATATTGTCGAATAAAAATACAATTAAAGTAATGTATTAATGGTTTTTATTTATTATAATCAAAAATACACGATTTATATGAAGGATTTTTTTCGATCCTAAATTTTAGGAAAAAGGATCCGGATTTTCATTAGAAAATCTAGGATCAATCCTAGTTTTAAACCTCGATCCGATACTATAAACCAAATACAGCTAAATATAAAAATAAAATAATAACATTATCACTAGATAGGCAAATAATTATTTGGGAGAATATGAAATGGAAAACTTGAATTCAAGCATTGGGAGGTTTTGTTTATAGTATTGATACATGTAGCTATACACCAAATACCTTTGCAATTGGTTGCGGTGATAACACCATTAGATTATGGTCTCCAACTGAAAACCAAAAGGATAGATACGAATCAAAGATGCTCTGGAAAGGGATCCAATCAAAAGTTACAGCAATTTCATTTTGTAAAGATTATGGTATCAATCATTCAACATTAATAGCATTTGGCATGGACGATGGAAGAGCTGGTGTTTACAATATTAATAATAATCAATCAACAATATTTCCAGGGGGTCACAAAAATGAAACTTATGAAATTGTATGGAAACCACCAAATAAAAATAATACTGTAGAAAATAAACAACAAGAAAAACCAAGTAAAATCTATACAATTGGAAATAATGAAATATTTGAATGGGACTATAATCATTTTGACAAAGGCTTTACAAATATGGGTCCATCTATTCAATCTAGAAATCCAAACGAAACATTTAGCAAACATAGAACTGATATCAATTGGAATTTAGATGGTGATATGGTAGCAATTGGTCATTCAGATGGAACTATAGATATATTTAATTCAGATTTTAAACTATTAACAAGAATCAAAGAACATAAAAAATTAATAAATAGAGTAAAATGGAGCCAATTCCCTGAGCATAAAAATACTTTAGCTTCAGCATCCAATGATAAAAAAATTAATATTTATAAAATAAATCAAATCAAACAAAATATTGAAAAAGATGAAAATCAAGAAGAAAATCAAAAAAAAGAGGGAATAGAAGAATTTAAAATTGAATTGATTTATCAATTTTCTGGACATAGGAATAATGTTTGCTCCATTGATTGGTCGAAACATGATTGGAGATTACTGGCCTCAGCTTCGGCAGATGGTACAATACAGGTATGGAATATTGAAAGTAAAGAGTTGGTTTCAAATATGAGAGGTCATGACGGAAGAGTATTTACAGTATGTTGGAGCTTTGTCGAACCAAACTTATTATCAACAGGTGGTGAAGATCAAACTGTTAGAATTTGGGACTATACCAAGCAACCGTATAAAACTCCAAATGAATCATTACCAACTAAACCATCACCACCACAAATAGCAATATCATTAAATAAAAAAATTGAGGAAAATAAACAACAAAACTTACAAGAAACTTTAGCCAACACAAACACATCATCATCAACAACAAGTACAGCCACAGCAATAAATAACCCAGTTTCTCCATCAAAAAACCAAAGCTCAACATCACCGGTATTATTACCAATAACTGAAAATTTACCAAAAAAAAGACCAATATTATTATTAAATAAAGATATTGTTCAAAAAGTAGATAATACTCAATCAGTAATACCTTTAGCCAAATATATTTTAGAAAATGATGATAAAGTAAATATTGATTATGGTGGTAATTGTGGAAATGATAAAATAGAAGCAATCTTTTCAGAAAACAAATTGGTTATTGATAAACTAATCGAAAAAGAATCAAATGAATTATTAAAGATTGACGATATTGAAAATTATTTATCAATTAATTGTTGGAATGGTAATATAAAGAATGCACTGTATCAAATTATAAAGAATGGAAAGTTAACAGGTAATATTGTTGCACTAAGTATTCAAGCCGGCAGGGAAATTTATGAATCAATTTGTTCGTTATACTCTCAACAACTTATATGCACTGGTGATTTCCATATGGCAGTCTCTTATCTTTTGCTAACCGGCCATGTTAAAGATGCTATCGATGTCTATAGAAATGCAATGCTATATCAAGAAGCAATCCTATTGGCCAAATCTCGTTTCCCAATTGATGATCCTATAATAGACCAATTATTTTTAGAATGGGCTAAACTAACTGAAACATCTCATTCAATTCATAGTATAAAATGTTATTTAGCAATTTCGAAATCTCAATACGAAACAACTAAAATCGAAATTTTAAAAATACTCTCAGTACCAACAAAACAAACTTTAAAAATTCAAAATGATTTAATAAACTATTTAAAATAAAAAATCATTTTAATAAATTTATAAACAGTCAAAAATAAATAAATAATAATAATTTAGTTTAAATTTATAAAAAATAGATGAAAAATTTAAAGTAATTGTGAATAAAATGTTAATTTCATGTGATAAATGACTTGTGTTCATCTTCTGATCTATTTTTGTATATAATACTCCACATAAATAATAGGAGTATTTTTGGTGTAAATTTAAATTTATAACCCACAATTGACCGAAGAGCGATTAATAGACATCAAAAATTATAAATGTCATCAAATCATTTAAACCAAAACAATAGAAACCAAAAAGAAATAGAGTTTAAGAATATAATCCTCGATTGAATCGAAATAATAAAGAAAATCAAAAAGGAATTGAAATATTAATAATTACAATAATAATGATAAAGTTAAAAAGAAAATTAATATAATTTTTTTTTATTATAAATTTAATATAGTTTTTTTTTTTTTTTAAAATATCACCAATTTTAAATTGTAAAGTTAATTTGTTCATTTTATTGTAACGATTATCTTTTCAAATATTATTAAATTGGAAAATTATCTTGTAAATCAAATATTAAAATTTTTTTTTTTTATTTTCATATAATCCATTTCTCCAAAAATTTTTTTTAAATGGAAAAAGGTGAAAATTTTGTTTTTTATAATTAAATAATATTAATAGATTTAAATAAATAATTTTTGTTGTCAAGATACTGATGGTTAAATCTTTTCATAATATCTATAATTATAAATGGCAATATTTTCGTTCATTATTATTGGTTATATTTTATTTATTTAACCACCAATAAAATCAAAAAAAAAAAAAAATTTTCATATTTTAAATTTTTTGAGGTAAAAAATGTGTATATAAACTCAAAATTAAAATTTTTTTTATATTTAATTAAACAAAAATTTTAGGTATTTTCAAAAATGTTAAAGTTAAATAAATTTCTTTTTTCTTATGTCTTATTGGTATTACTTTGTTTGGCAAGCTATGCAACTGCACAATTACCTACCCTTCCTCCAGGAACACTTGACAAATGTGAAGCCAAATGTGAAAGTTGTGTTGAAAAATGCGTTGATGAAATTGCCCGAGAAATATATAAAAGTTTAAATAATGACTTATTTCCTAATTAATTTTAAGAAAAAAATTAAATATTACTTTTTTACAATTAAAATTTATTAAATAAAGATACAACGTAAAGAATAATTTTTAGTTCAAAACCTTATTAAAAATTTTATTTATTTTAATACTAGGATTAGAAAAATAAAGTTTAAAATAAAAAAAAATTTATATAATTGCAATGATTTCAATTTTTTTATATATTTTTTGTAAACTATTTACAAATAAAATAAACAAATTTTAATGCAAGAAAAAGTTTTAAAGGTGTTAAAATATAAAAATATTCAATATTTTTTGTTATTTCTTATATACAAACAAATATAATCATATAATTATCAACAAAAAAAAAAACTAATTGAATTCTAAAGACTGTTGAGTTTTGAATGATATTATTTGAAAAAAATAAAAAATATAATATTTAATAAAAAATTTGTTGGGTGGTTAATAATATATTTGTAAATATTAAAATTCAATTTCTTTACATATTAATGATAATAATAGATATTTGAAAAACAATTAATTTAATAATTGTTTTATTTTTTTATTATTTTTATATTAAAATTTTGATATAGTTTTATTTTTACTTTGTTCTTTAGGATTTTCTATATTTTTCTTTATTATTATCTTATATGAGATTAATTTGTAGAGATCTAAAAAAAAAATTAAAAAAAATAATAATAATTAGAAAAAAATTAATAAAATTATTTTTTTCTTTAAAATATTTATTTTTATATACTTACAAAGATTAATTATTTTAGAATGAACAAATTTTATATTAATCCAAGCTTGTACTCTATTATGTAATCTATTTTAATTTGTTGATTATCTATTCAAATCTTCATGGTTGATGATCATAATTATCTGATACTACGTTGAATTTTTAATTTTGGAGAAATGCATCTATTTGGTTTTTGTTGGCTAGGTATCTCCCTTGTCATTAGAAACTGGGGCATTGGTATTTTCTTGTTTTTATCAATTACTATTAGGTTTCAATTCTCTTGTTCTAAGATTGACTTCTTAACCTCAGTTCTTTTTATTCATTTGTGTTTCTTATTTAATATATTATCTCTTTGAAATTTATCAATGAGAATTAGAAAGAAAAAAAAAAAAAGTTGTTTTAAAAAATATATGAATAAATGAATAAAAAAAATAAAAATAAATTTTAAATTTTATTAAAATTATTTTAACTTCATAATGCTTTTTTTTAATGATTGATGGGAAATACCTACTTTTAATCGATATCCTTTTTTATTATGAGTCTCAGCTTCACCCTTTAAATTAAAATTAAAAATATAAAAAAAATAAAAAAAAAAAACATAAAATTTCCCACACAGGGAAATTTTTTTTTATTAAAAAAATCATTAAATCTTAAAATTTTTATTTTAGATCTTTGGATCAGAAATTTTTATAAAAAGATTCAAAAAATGAGATATGGTACCTTATCTTTATTTTCTTTATTACTTATCACTAATTACTAATAACTTAAAAAAAAATAAAAAATAAAAAAAAATAAAAAAATAAAAAAAAAAAATAAAAAATAAAAAAAAATAAAGGGGTTATTCTAATGAAAATTTTTTCTTTTAAAAATTAGATACTGATTTTTTCATTATGTGAGTGTTTGCCAAATTAATCAAAATTAAAGAATAAATCAATTTTTTAAATTATTAATTAAACAGTAAACAAAAAAAAAAAAAATCTTACCCAATTTTTTTTTTATTTTTTTATTTTTTGAATTTTTTTATTTTTTAATTTCCTTTTTTTTTTTTTTTTAATTTTAAGACTTTAATATGAAATTTTAAAATAAAAACGACATGTCTTATAACCTATGATTTTTAAAGTGAACAGTGCACTCTGTTTATTGTTGAGTATTGAAAAAAAAAAAAAACAACTGTTGTTTTAAAAAAAACTATTTTTTTTCCCCCAAAACAAATAAACACTACACTCAATTTTTTTTAAAAAAAAAATAGTAATAATATTTTTCTAAAAAATTATATAACTATACACCCCTACCAAACAAAAAAGGAATTAGCCACATATTAAAAACAAAAAGTGTCAACATACACACACACACACACATATATATAAATATATATATGTATATATAACACTCACCCACATACACACCCACACCCATATTATCCCACACACTCATTGTTTTTTCTTTACACACAAAAATATTTAAAAGTAAGATAATATTAAATAAACTAACTTGAATTAATAAAAAAAAAGATTAAATTATATGACTGATTGATTTTGCACACAGATAATATTACACCACTTTTTCTCACCCACAATAACAAAACACTCATATTATTCACCTCACTCACACTGTATTTTAAAATCGCACTCTCTCACACACAACCTAACACACACACACACACAAATATATTTTTTTGTTTTTTTTTTGTTTTTTTTTATACTATATTAATATTATTTTTATAATTATATTATTATTTTTATTTTTATTTTTATTTTTAATTTTTTTCTCTTTTTTTTTTCTCTTTTTTTTTTTTTTTAAAATTAATTTTATTTATTTTGTTATTCAATTGGGTATATATATAGTATTAATTTAAAAAAAAAAAAAAAAATTTGTTGTTGTTGTAGTTATTATTATATTTAAATAATTTTAAAATATATTTTATATATGTAATTTTTAAAAACATAAAATATAATAATAATAATAATAATAATAAAAATAATAATAATAATAATTCACAAAATATATTTTTAAACATCAATACCATATCATTATAATAATTAATATATAGATAATATAATATTACTCCATTAGATTTATAATTGCATAACACTTATAAATCATCTATTTTTCCTTTATTACTACTACACTATCACTTAGTATCACATTTTACTATCATTAGTTTATTTTCTTTTCTTTTTTTTTCTTTTTTTTTTTTTTTTAAAATAGTAAATAAATAAAATTAAATTTCATCATTCATTTTTTTTTATTTTTTTTTATTATCAAAAAAATAATAAAAAAAATAAAAGTTTATAGAAAATAATAAAATAAAAAAATAAAATAAAAATAAAATAAAATAAACTTTATAAATTATATTCTATAATGAAATTTTTAAAAGGATCATCATCATCGATCATCATCAACAAATGGAGCATCCAATTCATCATCCAAATCAGATCA